ATATTAATAAGTAAAAATAAACTACTCGAATCAAACTTTTTACCATCGAAATTTGTCTAAAAAATTATCTCTACAAATTGGCTATTTTGAAAAAATTTAATACAATTAAAAATTGTTTACTTTCATTATCATAAAAAAAAGGTGCTCTGCTGTACAGACGTACACTAGGTTACAAGTCTGTCACTGTATAATGGATAGTATTAAATTTGAATTCAATGATATAATATCATTGTATAAGAAAAACGATTCTGAGTGAGATGGTATGTCAGTCTAGGTATAAGACATATTATATACATATCTATGGTATTAAACAAAATTTACCTAAAATAGGTACCTATAATAAACTCCAAATTAATCATATCACAATATCCATTAGGTACTTATAATTCGTTATACGTCAACAACAAACCCTGATACTATCATAGTCCATACTCCATAGATATATAATAGTGTAATTTAGAAGTATCAAGTACCCACGAATAAAATTACACAATCACAACAAAATAACTAAAATAGTTATTCTAGGTTTTTTTTATGTAATTTTGTCCAAAATTGAACTTAAAATGACTATAAAAATAAACTGTGCTTATGTATTTTTTAGATTTTTTGGTAACAGAATAAACTATATACGTGGAATCATATTTTAAATTTTCAATCCTTAGATATAAGAGTTGAACATTTTATACATTTTTAACTACAAAATAATTATTCAATTTTAAATTTGATAAATTTTGTCAAAATTCGATCTTTAAATGCTTATAAAAAAAATATGTGCCTTTGTATTTTTAATATATTTCAATTGCTATTGTAACAATATATCAGGATCCTTGTATTAAATTTTTACACTTTTTGGCCCAACAGATAAAACTTTATTGATATTTATAGAAAAAAAAACTAAAAAAAATTGAAAGCTGTAAATGTCCGTAAACAGCTGAAAAAGAGTCAAAATATTTTCAAAATTGTAGGGTGTATAGGAAATGCTAATATAAACATTCAGTGAAATTTTCATGTATCTACAGTTCTTCGTTTTTGTATTAGGTACAACAAAATAAAGAAATCCCTACATGAGAAATCGAGTGAACATCCAATGTTGTAAAAATTTGAATTTCAAACGCTCATAAAAATTTAATTTAACTTTCTTATAGACATTTTTTTTTTGATAAATGTAGATAATCTTATAAGGAATCTTGTATTACATTTTCAAATCTTAGATTTAAAAAGAAAAATGTTTACGAATTCTTAACTCAAAATAATTTGCTAATTTTCGTGATTTTTCCATATTTTGTCAATTTTTGAACTTTAAATGCTTATAAAAAAAATTGTGACTAAGGATTTTTTATATTTTTCATCTGCCTTTGAAACAATATACTAGGAGCCTTCTATAAAATTTTCAAGCTTTCACAACCAACAAATAAATTTTTATTGATATTTTTATAAAAAAAAACTAAAAAAAAATTGAAAATGAAAATGTGCCTAAACAGTTCAAAATAAATCAAAATATTTTGAAAATGTTATTGTGTATAGAAAATGCAAATATAAACAACCAGTGAAAATTTCAAGTGTCTACGTTCATTTGTTTTAGAGTTACACCAAAAACCAAAATCTATTTTTTGGAAAACCGATTTTGCGTAAAAATTCCCGTTTTTCCTTAATTTTTATGTTGTTTTCCCCGGCGCTTGTGAAAACTACTGGGAAACTTTTAATTTTGACCCTCCAAAGTACCTACTAGTTTCACTTTCTTGTCAGAAAAGATACTGTTGAAGAAAATCCAAGCACTTTTACCGTCCTAAAACGTGATGACAGACACAAAAATAAAAAAAAAATTAAAAATTAAAAAAAAAACACACATCATTGTAAATGTCAATACATACATCGTTTCACTCGGAATCTAAAATAAAATAAAAAATTGTATTGCACTTATAGTGCAAATATCCATACCTAAATCATACAATATAAACAAACAAAAGTTTAAATATTCATTTAACACTTTGAATGTCGGGCCAAAGATGACAAAACTGACCATTCTGACAGGGACATTTTTTTGTATGTGTCATTATCATTGAATATTTGAATGTGTGTAGCATTATCAATACACGTGGCACGAATAAACATATTAATTGTGTGTTGAAATTGATACACATATGGTACTCAAAGAGTTAAATAATTAACGCCAATCCGGCAGGTTACAAATTTCGGTGAAAACTGTCAAGTTTCATATTTATAATGTGAATGGATGTACAGTGTATACTATACATACACTGTATGTACTATAATTTTGTTGTAAAATTAATTCGACCTAGGTACTGTTGTACTAATGCCTAATAGGTAGTAAAACAAATTACTTTATTCAAAATAATATTAGGTATCATCAAATATACCTACTTAGTAATATATCATAGGCTGACTGACCGTCTTAGCTCAAAATCGTTTTTTGTAGGTATACAATAATTTTATATACTATAATTCAAGCCTGGGCATAAACGCGTTAAAAAGTTAAAAGTTAAGTTAAAAGTTAAGTTAATTTTAACTTTTAACTTAACTTTTTGAAATTTAATTTTCATTAACTTAATTTTTAACTTAACTTATTTTAATTGATATAAACTTAATAAATAACGAGTTACTTTTAATCAAATTCAACTTAAGTTAATTTATAAATAATTAAATAATAAATATAATAAAAAAAAATTATTATTGATATTACATAATCATTTATTAGAATAGGAAATTACAAATATAGTTAAATTAATTTGTCGTTCCGTTAACCAGAATTCTTCAAGAAAAATAACTCGATTAAATACATATAGATATAGTAATATGCAATAGCCAATAGCCAATTATATTATAACATAGAGGTGTATCGTATATATAAAGATATACCGTACCATACAGCGGCATACGGGCATATTGTAATAATAATAATTAATAAATACTAATAAGTAATAAGTAATATGATGAACCTATTATCTTATTATTTTGATATAGATACAAATCAAAAATGTACAATTCTGAAGAACATAATGTAAAATATTTTCAGCATAAATAGGTTATTTTTAAATTAAAACTAATTGGGTTGTGCCCATGTACATTTATATTTCAAATGTTTATATTTATAAACAGTCAATATTGTCAGTAGACAAAATATTCATAGCCCACATGGGTTCACTTTTCGTTCTCGGCTCTATCAGCACGCAACACACGATTTCGGATTTACAATACCGCGTTTCAGTGATTTGTGTGAATTGTGTACCTACTATATAATAATTATGGGTAGGTAGAATTATTCTATTAATTCAGTACCTACCTATGTATAGAAAAGCTATTGGCTATTTCATGTGTTCAATAATATTTATGATTTTTATTATTTTAAACCATATTACTGGATGTTTATAATTTATATAGATACAGTAGAACTTCCATGTAACGGTCACCAAAGGGTCTGTAAATAATGACCGCTATTTAGAGGTGACCGTCCTACAGATGTAGGATAACACTCGACGGGACCAAAAAAATTGACCATTACATAGAGGTGACCGTTTACGGAAGTTTTACTGTATTATGAAAAAAAAAATTAACTTAACTTAACTTAAGTTAATAAGTTAATTGAAAATGTTCATATAACTTTTAACTTAACTGAGTTAAAAAAAAAAATTAGGTTAACTGTTAACTTTAAACTTTTTAAAATGTTTTCCATTAACTTAACTTAACTCAGTTAAAAATTTTCATTAACTTGCCCAGGCTTGCTATAATTCAAATTTAACACCATCTATTGCACTGACCCACTTGTAAACAGCTACTGCCTACCGAACAGCAGAGTGACACCCACTTACCCGCCATTTTTTCTTGTATTTGTAAGTGTGTTAGTGGGTTAGCGGGTGGGTAGTTAAATTCAAAATCTGATACAACTTTATTTTGTTTGATAGCCACCACTGTCCGTACTTTATACAATGTACTACATATATATATATCCTATAATATATGGATAAAAGATAAAAATATAGATACGTAAATCATCATTATTTGCATTGATGATGAAAACGAGTGATATCTCTACAAAAACCCTTCTTAAACTACTTGTAACTACTGGCCAAGTAAAAAAATTTTCTTCAAACCCGATACTTCAACCGATACCAAAAAAAAAAAAAACCTACCGATCAGCATAGTATTTATAATTCACAAAAGCACAGGACACAGGTTAGGTTATCAATAATCAAATGCTATAGATTATTGGCAGGACGTCTTTGTTATCATATTACAATAATATTTTAATAGCAATATTATTTTTGAAAATTCAAAATTGTAATACAATAGATAACAATAATACCATATCTAGTCGCAGTGTCAGACTACTAGTTAGGAGTTACTAATTTTACTACTTACGAGGTTACTAAATATTAAATAGTTAATACTAGTGTATTGTAAATTTAATATTTATATTATTGAATTTAATAATTATTGCTTATTAGTTACCATGTCAGTTGCTTGGATTTTTTTCATTAAATGTCCAGATGATGTTTCGAAGGCGCAATGTTCGGTTTGCAACAAAAGAGCTCGTAGAGGAGGTACTAATTCTCGAGATTTCACTACCTCAAACCTCATTAAACACCTCAAAAATAACCATAATAATGAGTCAATGAGTTTCTTTTATTTAATAGACTATTATGTATTGATATTAAAGTATTAAAGACTGAAAAATGAACAAACATGCGATAACTATTAAATAATAATAATTAATTTATTACCATTAATAAATAATAATCAATTTTTTTACTGTCCTAGTTAATATTTGTGTTATCGGGTATTTTTGTGAAAAATTTTGTTTTAACATTTCCATATATTATCGGCAGCATATATCGGAGCATCGGATATCGGTAATTAGTGGTATCAGGGCCCATCCCTATTTTTAACTTAACTTTAACTTATCAACTCGTTAATGCCCAGCCTTGCTTGATGAATCCTGGGTGTTCAATTAATGAAAATGGTGATACTGTGCTCACAATAAGTTAAATATTAGCTTTGTCAAATTCGGTTTGGTTCAATTTTTTAGAGATTTTTCTTACTTCTTCTAGCTTCGACTGTTTATTTGCAGCAGGGTTTTCAATTTTCATCAATATTATGCCACATTTTTTTCCGTACTTATTAAACTCTGACAATTGACTTGGATGAACATTCTGTAGATAATTGTTAAAAATTATAAAATTGTAATTCATCTAATCAAAGAACTACATACCTATAAGTACTTTATAATTTATATTAGTTAATATAAACTAATAAACAATAGTATATCTACTTACTTTAATATGGCTTCTTAAATTTGAATTAGAAGAAGTCGAAGTAGAGATGAGTTTTTCTTTAGGAATACATAGCAAGCATTTAAATGTAATATTATTACCATCAGCACTTTGCAATGTTTCCTTAAAATATTTGTTTAAAAGACTCCATTTTGTGCATTTTGATTGCGATGTATCAGTATCCATATTACAATGTATTTTACTATTTTTTTTTATAAAAATTAAATACTTAGAGCAATATAAATTTATTATAACAATACAGAAAAATAGTGTAAAATGAATAGTAAATTGTTGACAACGCGCTATAGTCGACAGACGATTGACGAATGCCAGCTTTTAAATTTTACAAGACTTACTAAGTTTGTCAGGTAATTCAAATATATACTATATATTAAGTATTAATAGTATTATTATTATTCGGTCGGAAGATTAGTTCCAGACATCAGCTGATATTGAATAATAAATAATAATCCAACCGGTTGTTGGGGAAACAGACTAACAAAATTTGTTCTGGTGGAAACAATTTGTACCTTCCGATTCGGGATGTATATAGAATATATAGTCTTATATTGGTTATTTCACTTTTTATAATAAACTAATTTTGTTACCGAAACTTTATACGCTTTTACAGATAACTGTATACGTTAGTACCTAAGTACAATTTCTACTAATATTATCAAATACATTTAAATACACTTCACTTAAAGCAAAATTTATGCGAAATGTCGGGAAAATACATGCAATCTCCCGACTCCAAGTAGGTTGTTGTTATAATACCAGTTGAAAATTATTAAAGAGTCCGACATATAGGCACGATATTTTGTATAATTATTAATAGTTTGCAATGCACCTTCATAATAATGTTCTGCAATATTTATAGTTAAGGATTGAAAATATAATACAATATTTCTCATGAGTATTTTATACCGTAACCAAAAAATATATCACACAGTTTTTTTTTTATAGTTAATTTAAAATCAATTTTGAATGAAATTAGATATTCAGACAAAAAAAAACAACTGATTTTAGTTATTTTGTTGTAATTTTAAAACACTATATTTGTAGGTGGTCTTATCAGTTAACATTTTTTAGGTATATTATATTATTGTATAGTAACAATACAAAAGTATATAAAATAAGGTTTACAAATTACTATGGTTAATGTATATAAATTAGGCAAAGCTGGGCAAGTTAACCAATTTTTTTAACTAGTTAAAGTTAAGTTATCCTAAAATAAAAAATAACTAAGTTAAGTTAAAGTTAGTTTTATAAAGTTACTGAATTTGAATAACCAAGTTAAGTTACAAATTTTTATGAAAATAATAACTAAGTTAAGTTAAAAGTTAAGTTACTTTTATATTTTTAAACACCTTTAATTTACTCATAAACGTTTTTTTTTTTATCTCATCGGAGGAAAATATTTGAAATTGATTCAAATATTATTATTGACTATTGTCAACATAGATAATAAAGAAAGGGGAGGACACAGATATACATATATAATAAACTAGATTGCTAACTAGAGAGTATAAATTGACAAGCAAGCCGGGAGACGCCGATTTTCCGCCATGTTGCTTATGTTCTATGGTATTTTATGAATTCTTATCGTTGTCATAATACTACAGATATCATTGGATAATGCTTTGGATATCATTTATTTTTGTATATCCGTAGATTAAGGGTGTTGGATACAGGAACTAAGATATTATGGACTGTCGAAGGTGTTAATATTTGAGGTTAAGTTTTTCAACGGTATTTCTGTAGTGGGAGAAAATTATTTAAAAGCATTGACACCATGAACTAAGATAATTCTCCGACGGTCGACCAGCGAACGAACGGAACACAGTGTTGAATAGTTGATACCGGGTAGGTCAAGAAAATAACAATACGATCCCTTCAACCTTGCAAGATTTCCCTCTCTACTGAAACCTGACCGCACCACCACTACCCTCCCAACAAGTCGCCACCAGTAAATATCTTAGTTCATGGTGGTAACATAATAACCATCTATGACCGTGGTATACTGAGTATAAATATTCATTGTTAAAACGCGGCGTTATCGCCAAATGCCGAACGGAAATGGAGCCTCAGGGCTTTTGTACCGACTACCGAGTACCATTGTACAACCACCGACTGCCGAGTGCCGACTGGCGACAACAAAATGTCAAATGTGTCTGTAAACAGTGTCTAATTTGTGAAGCTTAAATTTTTATTTTTGTTTTTCCGGTGAATGGTGAATGTTTTTATGAATTGAGTTGATAAATTTGTTTAGTTCCGATTTGGAAACTCTTTGACTGTCGCCGCAATGGTTGTTTCTGATTTGTAAGTGTACTCAATTTTTATGTAACCATGTGTTACTGTATTCGTGTTATAATTATATATCAATGATCATGTCGGTCTCGTTGTTAGATAACAAGAACAATTATACATTTATACGTGTCCCCCCCTTAATTTGGGCCTATAAGTATAAAAAACTTTAAGTAGACAATACAATTAATTTGATTTGGATTAAAAGTTACACCATGGAATATTATATAGGGTATTTCAAATTTTGTGTGCAGTGGCGTATTTAGGGGGGCGAGAGGGGGCAATTGCCCCGGGCAGCGCATTTTTGTGGGAGCTTTTTTTTTAAAACAGATTTACAATGATTTAGACATTTAGGCAAATCAATTATGTCAACAAAACGTTAAGACTTTAAACCACATATAAGCCTAAAAAAATTGTATTCGACGATTTCTTGTAAATTTGATGATGTACTTTATAAAAACTTAAACTTACACGGAATAGTATTTATTTTTTTTTTAAAACATTAAACATTTTAATAAATATTTTGAGATACGGACTTTTGTCATTGATAATTATTAATTGTATTAACTACCTAACCTATATAGTTTATAATTTATTAACATACTTTTCTAACAATAAATAATTAGGTACTGATGAAAATAATAATATTATTATTGTATTTCATACACATGATATTATTAGATTCTGAAATCTGAGCGGAGCGATGAAGACAATAATTGTACAACAATGTGTGATGGTTTTTATTTTTTGTGTTTCTACACGATAAATAGTTGAAATAATGCTTCAATTTTTGAACTTCAGTATCTTTTCTAGCGGTAAAGCGAATCTAGTTGGTAATTTAACGAATATCCCAGTATTTTTCAAATGTGACGAGGAAAACAAAAAATTCCGGAAAAACTAAAAAAAAAATAGCTGTAGGCCCACGATATTCTTTTAAATTATAAATTATTTGGGGGTGTCCTATGAATATTTATACTGATTTTAACTATGATTTTAATGCAATGCGAGCCATAAGGCCATATATTATCATGGGCCATTATCGATGTATTTTCAAGAAATATAAATTTTTAATATGTTCAAGATTTTAGAAATAGATATAAAATTAAAATTAATACATTTTACAATTTGCTCAGGTGAGCATTACCTATATATCGTTATTCGTTGCTACTGAGAAGTGAGAGTACCTACGATATTCAACATTCTGGGGCACTAGATAAATTGTTATACTACATGATACCTACTATTACCATATTATACATGTGTTGTAAGTTTATTTATGGGTGAGAAAAATTGCCATTAAAAAAATAATGTCCCCCAGGGCAGCAAAATCCTAAATACGCCACTGTTTGTGTGACAATAATGGTGAAAACTGTACAACTAACATCATTCCCATTTTTGCATCCAACAATTTAGAAAACTATTGTCAAGTTTTAAACTATATTAATAATATTACTAAAATATTTACTCTTAAGTACAAACTATTAAACTGTATATTAACATAACTAGAGTAACCTGGGGTATTATGGCCATAGATATTAAAGAATGGATGGGCCATTTGTGCTTATCATACGGGAATGAACATGAAAACATTTTGAGGTTATAGAGATCTTAACACAAATAAATATATATATAACTATTGTAGGTATATAATTTATGATAATATGACCTCTGCCAGAATGAGATACAATCATAAAAAACAGTCTTTCACTCTTCCCCATTCCGGCACACGACCCTCTATTTTATTAATGTAGCCATGGCCTATCCATTCTTTAATATCTATGATTATGGCGCATGGGGCAAAATGAATTATTGTGCATAAGTAATTTGATAATTGCTATCTGGTCAAACATTTTTGTTATTATGATTATGTTATCATAGCCAAACGTGATAAAATATTTTTTTCAGCAATTGATGATGTTTTGGCGGCAAAATATGGAGGTAAAATATTAATTGTATTCGTCTGATATAATATTTGAGTAGTATAGAATTAGTATTTAGTAATGTGTACGACACGTTAGATTTTGCTTTTATAAATATTCGTTTAGTACAAGTAGGTGACTAAACGTCAATACTAGTAAAAACAACTGAATATACTACAATACTGTTTATTCAGAAAATCATATTGGGGTAAAATGGCTTAGTGGGTTTTGGGGTAAGAGTGAGCAGTATTTCTTATATGATAATTGATTACCTACTTTTATAAACATTTAATTTTTCTAGCTAGAAATTGAATTAATTATATCTATTTATTTATTAATTTATTTAAACTAATAGGTACATTATATCTACGATGTATCATCAAATGATTAAATAATATTATATAATATTTATTGAATAATTATACTTAAAAAAATTACTTCGACTTAGTATTTACTACTAATACTGTATTCATTATATATTACCTATACTAGGAACTTTTATATTATGCATGCATATTATATATATTTATAACTTATTATTTGATAAAAATAAAATAGAAAACATTCTTTAATGAAATTAATTTTTATGAATTAATTCAGCATGCGGCCTATTACCACCATATTAAGTGCCTACTTTTACCCCAATAACGGGGTAAAAAGACGCATTTGTTATAATTTCTAATTACATATTCAGAATTTTTGGTATTTGCTTTGGTAAAATCAAATTTTGATCAGAAAATTGAAATCTAAGTAATATTTATGATAGGAAAACAATGTAACAATATTTCTAAAACGTGTATGCTACCACATACCAGCTGTTAAATGTTAGGTGCGCCACTATACCCCAGGTTACTCTATATAAATTCATCACATTTAATATGTATTTTACTAATACTTATTTTGTGAATGGTTAACAATATAGATATTTCATGATATAATATTCTTAGTTACTAATTTCTTATGATAGTTTACTTCCACAAGATTTCTTTATGAATAGTATAATTAGGTATTTAACATAAATAATGTTATTAACCATTTATTTTTCTCATTAAATTAGTAAATTAGAATTATTTTTTTTTACGAGTTCTTATAAATACATTTGAATTATTATTGCCTTTATTATCAATTTAATCTTGGTTTTTACTTTCTATTCTTGTTCTTATTGTCTAGTTCTTGGTCAAGTAGCTCTAGCTCTGGCAGTAATTCTTCATCAAGTAGCTCTCGCTCTGGCAGTAGTTCTTCATCAAGTAGCTCTCGCTCTGGCAGTAGTTCTTCATCAAGTAGCTCTCGCTCTGGCAGTAGTTCTTCATCAAGTAGCTCTGGCTCTGGCAGTAGTTCTTCAGGATCTAGTAGCAGTTCAAACTCAAGCAGTTCTAGTTCCAGTTCAAATTCTAGCTCAAGTTCTTCAAGTTCAACTAGTTCTTCTGGTACCTCTACTAGAGGTAGAGCTGAAGTAAAAACAAAGTGAGTTTTAGTGATTAATATTTAGTAATATGTCAGTGTATTATATTGAAGTTGAGATTTTTATAATTATTATTAAATTTAAATAACCCTAGGCAACCAAAAGTGAAAAGTGGCAGTAAGACGAAGAGTAGAATCCGCAGTCCAAGAAAATCAAGACGTAATGATGAGGAAAAAGTAAAAATAGCTGAAAATAAAACTAGAACTTCTAGAAAAACAAGGTAATAATCTTAATTTTAAATTAATCTAATATTTTATTTTTTTTTTAAATATTCACTTAAAGCATATTAGTGTAATACGTGTTATAATATGATTTTAGATCAGGTAGCCCAACTCCAAAACCCTGCAGTATTCATGTTGGTAGTTTGACTCGGAACATTACTAAGGAACATATTCAAGAAATATTTTCATATTTTGGAACAATAAAAAAAGTAGATGTACCTCTAGATCGATTTCATAAATTGTGTAAAGGATTTTCTTATATTGAGTTTTCTTCGCCAGAAGGAGCTGAGAATGCCATAAAACATATGGATGGAGGTAAGTGTCATTTATTTGGAAATTATAATAATTATTAATAATTTACCTTTAATTATTATAGCTCAAATCGATGGACAAAAAATAACTTGTGCACCATTTGTATTGCCACTTCCAACTATTCGTAGAAGTCCTATACGCCGTGGTGGTGGTGGTGGTGGTGGTGGTGGTGGTGGTGGTGGTTGTCGATGCCAAAGATGTCCATACAGACGTAGATCACCAATGCCTATTAAACGACTTTCTCCTCGTCCACTTAGAATGAGATCTCCAATAAGGCGTTATCACAGTCGTTCTAGATCTAGAATCTTTCCTTAAATTCCAATATAGTGTAATAATTTCGCTGTATTTTAAAAAAAAGACCTAAAATATACCAACGGTTCATTATTATTCTTTTATATACATTATTACTCTAGATCTATTTCAAATTAATACTCATAGTTTTTGGTAATTTTTTTTAAAATTTTGACACAGTATACCTATTACTTTTTAAATATGTGTTTATCTAATATTTATAATTGTACTTGAATATCTTGCTATAATATTTACTAAATGTAATTGTGAGTTAGTATTTTATCTAATGTAGGTAAATCATGTTTGACATTAGTGTTACATTTTTTTTTATTATTATATTTTTAAATATTTTACATATACATGAATATTTTGTTTAAACATATTTTTACAATTTAATATTAGTTCATCAAAAAACAGATTATGTAATTTAATTTACCTGACAAAGTGGACAAAAGTTTAACTGAATTTCTAATAAATCATCCGTTTTTAATCATAAGTTTCTAATCTCTTGTATTTAATAATTTGTTATTCTTTGTTTCAACTTTCAAGTCATATGCATAAATATAATTAGATAAAAAACCATTCAAAGAACATAATTTCAACATTTTTATTTAATATCAACGTGTATAATAATTCACATACATCATTAGTTAAGCTATTCTTAAATGTATCATTTGTGATTACCCAATACATTATTAGTGTTTGATATTGTAAGTTATAACAGTAATTGCTACCTAAAGAGAAAATAGAGATATTAGTTACAAAAGCTTCACATAATTTATTTCCATCAATATTATTTTAATTAATAGAAGTCATGAGAACATATTAAGATGGTTCATGATTATTTCTTTTATGCTTGGATCCACTGAGACTTGACTAAGTTTGTTCTTTTTTCTGTTCTGTAGCTGATACTTTATCATATCACTAGAGTTACTTCACCCAATAAAAATAAATATTGATAAACACAAAAATTTAGAATTTAACTGTTGGTGTTGAATGTTGATTTTACTTTATACTAAAACAATTGGTTTATTTAATAATACATTTTTCAATTTTAAAATAAATTCATATGTTATTGTAATTTTTAATGTCGTGTTAGTCATTTTTTCTCAATATTTATTTATTATATTTATTATGTAACGTCAGGATTGAAGTAGGTAGTTTAAGAGGACGTCACACCTAACGTGTTATCTCCGTCTTACTCATGTACGACACAGACAAAACGCGTTTACGAAGTCTGAGTAGAACTTGCTCAATTTTCGTTGTAGAGTAAAAATACCTATTATAAAATTGAATTGTGACAATATTTCTGAGGGCAAGTCGTTGCGTTTTTTCAGTTATACCCAATATAATGTTCATTATATCGTTTAGAGATGGAAAAAATTTCAACATTTTAATTTTTTAATAGGTATTTTTACTCTTCTTTATGTATCCGTGGATTTGAAATACCCGCCAAATAATAAATTAGGTATCACGTTAAGAGGACGCTACACCCGCATGTGTTGTCTCCGTCTTACACACGTACGACATAGACAAAACGCGTTTAGGCAGTCTGAGTATAACTCGCTCAATTTTGGTTCTAGAGTAAAAATGCCTATTATAAAATTGAATTGTGATAATATTTCTAAGGGCAAGACGCTGCGGTTTTTCCATTATACCCAATATAACGTTCATTATATCGTTTAGAAATAGAAAAAATTTCACAATTTTTTAAAATACCTTTGACTTTTAAAAAATTTAATTTTTTAAAAAAACCGCAGCGTCTTGCCCTTAGAAATATTATCACAATTCAATTTCATAATAGGTATTTTTACTCTAGAACCAAAATTGAGCGAGTTATACTCAGACTGCCTAAACGCGTTTTGTCTATGTCGTACGTGTGTAAGACGGAGACAACACATGCGGGTGTAGCGTCCTCTTAATCATATTATTATGATAACACTACGACTACATAGCCCGCAACAAACATGGCGTTTTTTTGGCGACGGCTTTAATCACTAGTTAGCAATCTAGTTTATTAAATTCTATATCTGTAGGGGAGGAAAACTGAGTAGAATATCATCACTTATTCGTATTTTATACTGATTACAGCCAACCGAATATATATATTATATATTATATAATATTATAATATAATAGACCCCAAAATCACCTCATTTTTTTTTCAGTCTTTGATACCGATAAAAGTCTGATGGCCTATCCGTTTGACATTTCTTTATTATCTATGATTGTCAATAAAATGAATAATAATAATAATAATAATTAACCCGTACCTGGATAATATTATAAAATACCAACTTACTTTAATGTGTGTTCTTCGGTTTGAGTTTCATGTTAACGATGTACTTATAATATGCTCTTTAGGACAACACAGTACACTTAAATCTAATATTTTGTTTTTCATAGTCTATATTAATTTGCTTATAATACGACAATATCTAAGACCATTTATCCCTCAACACTTCATTGACTTCGGCATTTCCGGTGTAATAATAGTAATAATAGTAAAATACTACTGATTAGTAACTTCAATATGTCTATAAAGCATATTAATTATTAGTACCTATATATGTACTATAATAATATGTCTATAGTATAGTAATAAATACAATAATATACATACCTACAATCGTCGGTAGATATACCTCCGTCGCGGTTCTCAGAAATATCAACTCAAATAATATACAGTTCATAAATAACATAAATCATAATAGGAAAATTGATAAATAACTTTTTACAAATAACTTTCATTTTAACAAAAAAACTAAGTTAAGTTACAATTATTTATAAAAAGAAATAACTTACTTACTAACTAAGTTATTTTCTACATTCCATTTTTTTTTTATATTCTGAGTGGAGCAAGGAAGCTAATGGTTTTACAATGGTGCTTAATTTTAGATTCTGAGGGGAGCGATGAATGTATTGGTTTTACAATGATGTGTGTTTTTTTATATTTTTATATTTTTATATTTTTTTTTGTGTCTGTCATCACGTTTTGGGACAGTAAAAGTGCTTCGATTTTCTTCAATAGTACCTTTTCTGATAGGAAAGTGAATCTAGTTGGTACTTTGGGGGGTCAAAAGTAAACATTTTCCAGTAGTTTTCACAAGCGCCGGAAAAAACAACATAAAAATTAAGGAAAAACGGGAATTTTTACGCAAAATCGATTTTCCAAAAAATCGAATTTGGTTTTTGGTGTAACTTTAAAACAAATGAACGTATATACATGACATTTTCACCGGTTGTTTATATTTGCACTTTCTATACACGATAACATTTTAAAAATATTTTGATTTATTTTGAACTGTTTAGGGACATTTTCATTTTTCATTTTTTTTTAGTTTTTTTTCTAGAAATATCAATAAAATTTTATTTGTTGGTTGCGAAAGCTTGAAAATTTAATAGAAGGCTCCTAATATGTTGTTTCAAAGGCAGATGAAAAATATTAAAAATCCTTTGTCAACATTTTTTTTTCTAAGCAATTAAAGTTCAAAAATTGACAAAATATGGAAAATCAATTATTTTGAGTTAAGAATTCGTAAAAATTTTTCTTTTTAAATCTAAGATTTGAAAATGTAATATAAGATTACTCATAAGTTTGTCTACCTTCATCAATAAAAAAATCTCTACCGGAATGTCAAATTAAATTTTTATGAGCGTTTGAAATTCAAATTTTTACAACATTGAATGTTCACTCGATTTCTCATGTAGCGATTTCCTTATTTTGTTGTAATTCAAAAACGAATAACTGTAGATACATGAAAATTTCACTGAATGTTTATATTAGCGTTTCCTATACACCATACAATTTTGAAAATATTTTGACTCTTTTTGAGCTGTTTATGGACATTTACAGCTTTCAATTTTTTTTAGTTTTTTTTTTCTATAAATATCAATAAAGTTTTATCTGTTGGGCCAAAAAGTGTAAAAATTTAATACAAGGCTACTGATATATTGTGACAATATCAATTGAAAAATATTAAAAATACATTGGCACGATTTTTTTTTATAAGCATTTAAAATTTGAATTTTGACAAAATTTATCAAAATCTCAAAAATTATCAATCGTTGGAATTAAAAAATTATAAAATGTTCAGTTTTTATAACTAAGAGTTGAAAATTTAAAACAAAGATTCTCTTAAATAATTCATACTGTAACCAAAAAATCTAAGCAATATATGAACACAGTTATTTTTACAGACATTTTAAATTCAAATTTGGACGAAATTACATATTTAAACCAAGAATTACGATTTTAGTTATTTTGTTGTGATTGTATAATATTATTCGTGGGTACTTGAAATTTCTAAAGTAATCTACTATATATCTATGATAGTATCAGGGTTTGTTGTTGGTGTATAACGCGTTATAAGTACCTAATGGATATTGTGATATGATTAATTTGGAATTCATTATAGGTCAATTTTTTTTAATACCATAGATATGTATATAATATGTCTTTTACCTAGAAGGACATACCGTCTCCGCTCAGAATCGTTTTTCTTATACAATGATATTATATCATTGAATTCAAATTAAATACCATCCATTATACAATGACCCACTTGTAACCTACTGTACAGCAGAGCGACACCCACTTGCCCACCTTTTTTTTTTAATTTTTTATATCCTGTATACAAAATTTCTTTCAACATATTATAGTACTTTATCTTTTAGCAAAATGCATGAATGTGGTACTTTAGAGAGGTCATTTTTCGATTTTATCATTAGTTATTTAATGCTACGGTAAAAACCACCGAAAAATTACGAAAAACTGCTGAAAAATTGGATTCTAATTTCTAACTCTTTGTTTATTACCTACCATAGAAACGAATAAAAAATAATAATATTATAATATTAATTCAACTTACATGATATAATAACTAGTAACAATATAAGATATCCAGGCTGACAAACGGTCTCCACTCAGAATCGTTTTTGTTATACAATGATGTTACCTATATCAATAAATTCAAGTTTAATACAATCCATTATACAATGACCCACTTGTAACCTACTGCACA